CTAGTCCACAGCAGCAACCTGAACAAAAATAAACATAGGTGAAGTGCATGTTGACTTGATAAAAACAGAATACGTTCACAAGATATGTGGATTTGCCATGACTGGACATGATTCTATTCACTGATTTTCAAGACAAGTAAGTAAGACTCTCAGGAAATGGCCGTTATATATAACATAGCCCAACAAGTCCCTGGATGATGAAAATCTCACCAAGGGAGGACAGAAGCATAAGCTCGGACAAAAACAAGAGAGGCAGGGTTTACCCGTTATTACTCCACAAGTGGCTTCCTTTTAGGACCTTTCATGATGCAGATGTGAATCTGTGTACAATAATTTCAATGTGTTCAAACCCATAAACTATCAATCATATTAGAGCACGTAACGTTCAGAGATAATATAATACGCATGCAAGCAAAGGTACTGCAGGCATGAAACAACATTGGAATGCAGTATAGCAAGATGTGTGAAAGAGGTGCAAAGTTTACAGAGGTTAAAGTTATCCATGGGCTCTTAATCCGAGTAGAATGGTCACTATTAAAACTGAGTCCTACACAAAGTGTCAACATTAAGCAAGAAGTAGAATTGGGTGAGGAGCCAAGACCAGTTTGGCTCAATGGATAGAGCGTCGGCTTGGGGACTGAAGGGTCCCGGGTTCGATTCTGATCAAGGGTTATACCTTGGTTGCAGGTATATCCCCAGTAGGGGGTGTGCAAGAGGCAGCTGATCGATGACTCTCTCTCATCGATGTTTCTAACTCTCTCTTTCTCTCCCTTCCTCTCTGAACAAAATCAATAAAATATATTAAAAAAAAAAAAAAAAGAATTGGGTGAGGAATGGGTAATGGTAAAAAATGTTGTAAAAAAAAAATGGGTTCCTAGTTATAACTGAAACAAAGCCTAGGCTTGAAAACTACCCCCACAGCCCTTCACCAAGGCAAGACTGCCTCTGGGACTATCCTGTCATTGATAAAGTCTGCTGTGATGCAGAAATTATTCTGTCTCTTAAATCCTAGTTGAGCCACTGCATGGGATGAATAATGCCAATTTTATTTTATTTTTTTTAAATATATTTTATTGATTTTTGTACAGAGAGGAAGGGAGAGGGAGAGAGCTAGAAACATGGACCAGCTGCCTCTTGCACACCCCCCACAGGGGATATACCCGCAACCAAGGTACATGCCCTTGACCAGAATCTACCCGGGGCCCTCCAGTCCCCAAGCCGACGCTCTATCCATTGAGCCAAACCGGTCCCGGCAATAATGCCAATTTTAAAAAGATGGATGGTCAGCACTGTGGTAGAACAACAAAGCACAAATGAAATCACAGACAAAAGACCTATGAGAGGGACATCAGCAAGATGGCAGAATCAAAGATAGAGAATCTTTCCCCATCCCAGAGTACGTAGAGGGCTATCCATGACAAAAAACATCCCACAGGAAATAAAAATAAGAATATCATGAAAAAAACCTGTAATACAGAATACCAAAAACGACAACTGCATAGAAAGGATGACACGAGACTGGGTGAGCTAACACATTTGAAGATACCTAAGATCAAAAACAAGCGTTAATAATAACTAACGAACTAACTAAATAAATAAAGCGCACTAACCGATTAGGCTCAGTGGATAGAGTGTTGGTCTGCTGACTCAAGTATCCTAGATTTGATTCCAGTCAAGGGAATGTAACTTAGTGGCAGGCACATCCCCAGTAGGGGTTGTGCAAGAGGCAGCTGATTGATGTTTCTTTCTCATCTATGTTTCTATATTTCTTCCTCTCCCTTCCTCTCTGTGAAATGTCAATAAATATGTTTTAAAAAATAAAATGAATTAAATAAATAAATAGTCAGCTCTAGGTAGTTTGCTCAATGCATATAGTGTCAGCCTGTAGACTGAAAGATCCTAGGTTTCATTCCAGTCAAGGGCACATGCCCAGTTCATTATGAATTCCTTCCCCGATAGGGACATGCAGGAGGCAGCTCATCAGTGATACTCTGTCAGCATTAATGTATCTCTCAATCTCTCTAACCCTTCCTCTCATAAATCAATAAAAATGTATTTAAAAAAAAAAAAAAAAAGATTGCCGAAACCGATTTGTCTCAATGGATAGAGTGTCGGCCTGCAGACTAAAAGGTCCTGGGTTCCATTCTGGTCAAGGGCATATACCTTGGTTGTGGGCACATCCCCAGTAGGGGGTGTGCAAGAGGCAGCTGATTGATGATTCTCTATTATCGATGTTTCTAACTCTACCCCTCTCTCTTTCTCTCTGTAAAAACATAAAAATCAATAAAATATATCCAAAAAAAAAAAAAAAAAAGAAAAAGGAAGAAGAAGAAGAAAAAGAAGAAGAAGAAGAAGAAGCAGCAGCAGCAGCAGCCGCCGCCGCCGCCAAAACTGGTTTGGCTCACTGGATAGAGCGTTGGCCTGCAGACTGAAAGGTCCCAGGTTCGATTCCGGTCAAGGGCATGTACCTTGGTTGCGGGCACATCCTCAGAAGGGGGTGTGCAAGAGACAGCCAATCCATGATTCTCTCTCATCGATGTTTCTAACTTTCTATCTCTCTCTTCCTCTCTGTAAAAAAATCAATAAAATATATTTTAAAAATACATATATTTAAATGTATAAATAATTTTTAAAGAATAAATGAATATGCCTAGCCAATGTTCTTCACTGATAATAGTGCTGGCTTGTGCACTGGAGGGCTCAGGTTCTATTACCAGTCAAGGGTAGGTACCTGGGTTGCAGGTCTACTCCTACTCAGTAGAGGCACATGTGGGAGGCAGCCAATCAATGTTTCTCTCTCTCTCTCTCTCTCTCTCTCTCTCGCTCTCTCTCTCTCTCTCTCTCTCAGTAGAGGCACATGTGGGAGGCAGCCAATCAATGTTTCTCTCTCTCTCTGTCTCTCACTCTCTCTCTTTCATTCTCTCTAAAAGACCAATCAATGAAAAATATATCCTCACTATCCGGGTGAAGATAACAGAAGAATAAAGAATTAAATACAGAAGAATGATAGGATGTAAAATAAACATACAAATATTAGTTCCATTTCTACACACAAATAATAAATTCTTTGATGGAAAAATAAAGAATATAATCAAATTTACAATAGCATCCCAAACTATTAAACCCACAGGAATAAATTCAAACAAAATTGAAACATTTGTACACTGAGTACTATAAGACAGTGATGAAAGGAATGGAAGAAAGCACAAATCACTTGAAGGACAACTTGTGTTCAAGGGTCTGAAAATGAAATATGGTGGAGATAGCTTTAATACACAAGGCAAACTACAGATTAAATGCAATCCCAATCATCCAAACGGTATTTTACAAAGAAATGAATAGAAAATCTGGAAATGGAATCAAAACACCTCCATTAACAAAAGCAATCCTGAGGGAGAACAAAGCTGGTGGCATCACACGTCCAGATTTCAATTTATTACAAAGAGAAAACAAGCAACCAGTGTGTTGCTGGAGAAACACAGATACAAATATAAACTGAACAGAAGAGAAAACATATGAAGAAAGCCAGGGATATGCCAGGACCGGTTTGGCTCAATGGATAGAGCGTCGGCCTGCGGACTGAAAGGTCCCAGGTTTGATTCCGAGCAAGAGCATGTACCTTGGCTGCGGGCATGTCCCCAGTGAGGGGGGTGCAAGAGGCAGCTGATCGATGATTCTCTCTCATCGATGTTCCTAACTCTCTATCCCTCTCTCTTCTTCTCTGTGAAAAATCAATAAAATATATAAAAAAAAAAAAAAAAAAAGAAAGAAAGAAAGAAAGAAAGAAAGAAAGAAAGAAAGAAAGAAAACCCAGGGACAAACTTTTAACCCAGGCACATACTTTTAAGTGATCTCTAACGAAGCTGCAAGTCACAGAAGAGAGCAAAGACAGTTTCTTCAAGAGTTGACATGTGAAACAACAAACCTGGACACCACTAATAAAAATTTAACTCAATCTGTAGGACAGAATTAAATGTGAGTGCTAAAACTTAAAACTCCTCAGGATGACCTAGAGAAAAAGTGTGGAGGTTTATTTTGTACAGGAGTTTCTGAATGTAACACCAACCACAACACACACACACACACAAAAAAAAGAAAACCTACACAGTCCACACTACAACAAATAAAGAAAAAATAGCGTCTTCACAGCACAACAGCAATACACAAAATGAAATGAAAGGGCAATCTAGACAACAGAAGAAAATACTTGCAAATTGACTAAAGGAATACCTTGGAGATATTGTGGATTTGGTTCTGATTAGCACAATAAATGAATATTGCAATATAGACAGAAATGCACACAAATACTTGCAGTTCCCTGGGAATAATAAAGGTATGTTCATAGTCTTCTGCAGATTTTAACAATGCAATGACTCTGCCTCAAAAGCAAAGTCTATATAACTTCATGAAGAATATTTACTTGCTAAGCAATAGTAACAAACATCTAAGCTTAATAGAAATATGGTGGCACTAGACCGACTGAATGCTGGGTTGCCAAAAACATGGACTTAGTAGAAAATCCGCTGTGGGGAAGTAATATCTGCCGAGCATTATTAAGCCCATGCAAAAATATGTGTTCCTGTATGTCATAAGCAAATAATATATAAAATAAACAAGGTATTCAAAAGACTAACAAAAAAATACATAGTTAAAAAACAGGTTTAATGATATACAGGCAAGTTTTCAAAAATATATACACATGAACAACAGGACAATAGAAAATGCTTTCCTCACTAATCAAGGTGGAATCCTTCAGGCTTCCTGCAAGACTAGCAACCACAAGTCTTTCTGTGAATGTAGTCCAGAGGGGAGAATTGTGACTTCTGGAATAGAAGGGAGCAGTGGAACCAGTCCAACCCTACCCAGGACATCAACTACCAAGGAAACTGGAAAATCAAGCAGAACCACAGTCTACATGGGAGGACACAGCACACCCTGGGAGATGGGGCCTGAGAAATCCCAAAGCCAAGTCCAGATCACTGTGAGAGTGAGGGTCTTACCCAGCGAGGATACAAGTTCAAAGTTCTCCAGCATCACATTCAGGTACAACTGTCTCTGACCCTCATCAAGGAGGCTCCATTCCTCCCTGGAGAAGTACAGGGCAATGTCCTCCAAGGTCACGCCAACCTGTCAGAATGGAGACAATTGAAATCAGAGCTGTCTCTCTGAGAACCCCCACTGCTACTCCTTATACACCTTCCCCCCTCAACCTCCTCCAGGGCACCCGGTTAGTGTGGAAACCAGGCCCTAATGCCAATGCAGGCTGCTCTCTCATCACAGTCCCATTACTCACTGGGATTGTCCTCAGCAGAGTAGCTGGGTGGGTGGGAAGGTTTGGGGGAGGGGAGGGGAGAGAGCAATGCCATTTAAGCTCTGGGGATGCCTGCAGGACCCCAGCCTCCGGCCACGCAATTACACTGCAGCCTCCTAGACCATGCCTCCCAGACAAAGCCAAGAGTGGGTTTGTGCTTCACCTATAAGTTCCCACATCAGGTCCCGGGAAACATCAGCTCACACTTCCTCCAGATGTGCACACACTGGGTAATGCTCATCCCCTTCCCATCTTCAGTCCCAGGTTCACTCCCTCAGCTCTGCCCCCTTCCTGCTCCAATGCCACTGGGTCTCGCTGGACTCCCCCATGAACTTGGCACATGGCATGTGGAGAAGCCTGTCTTCCAGCGGGTCCAGGACCACCCCAGGCCCCTGAGGGACCCCACAGCCGGGAAAGCCCCCGTGAGGCTGTGACGGCCTCCCTGCAGCCTCTGATCTGCCCGCCAATCCTCACAGCCACACCCTCAGGGGAACCTCGGAGGCCGGTCACCCCTGTCCTCTCCGCCCCGCACTGGCTGTGTCCTCAGAAGCCACCGCGCTCCGCCCTCCCCTCCGCCTTCCTCACGGTCCTCCCCGCGGACGGAGCTGCAGGAGGGACAGGCCCGCACCGGGCTGTGGGGTGCGGGGTGAGGAGGCGGGGGGCCTGGAGGACAGGAACTCACCTCAGCGAAGCCCCTCAGTGCGGGCGCCGCCATCGCGCTCTGTGGGCCGCCGCGCGGGGCGGGAGCGGAAACCGCGGCAGGAATGGCGGGGCCTGTCCCGGCCCTGGCGTGGGTCCGAGCGGTGACTCCGAGCTTCAACCCTGAGGGATGAACGTTGGCTCTTCGGCGGGAAACACCACTCTTCAGCATTCTCCACAAGACCATGGGACCAGGAACTCATGATGGCCCCAGACAATAACCTGAGTAGACAAAATTCTAACGCAAGGGCTACTGGTCCTTCCCCACAGAAGGAGCCAAACGGAAATGCCTTCTGGGAAGCCCCATTGGCTGAGCCTGGTGGCATTCCAATCTCGGCCTTGTGGGTAATGTAGTTTCTCAGCTCCAACTCCAGGAAAGGAATTACAGGTAGGGGCAAATAGCAGAAGAACACAAGTATACTCAGGGTCCTCTAGGGCCTTTAGGGGAGGTGATGTTGGGGCAAATTGGTTTCTCCTGCATACGTTTGGCTGGTTTAGCATATCTTTTCTTACAGGTTCTGCTCTGTCCCAAAGGAGGGCACTGTTTTTTCATTCAAAGCTTTTGGCTGTGTCTCCCTCACCCCAAATGTAGCTGGAGGAGATTGCTCAAGTCTCTAACTGGATCTAACCTGCCTCCACTGAATACACTGTAAAAGTTAATGTCACAGCCGAAACTGGTTTCCTTAGTAAATGATGGTTGAAGCCATGAAACATGCTGTGGCCTTCCTTCTATGGTTCTACATTTTTCTGTTCACACCGTATTATATTTTCTCAGCTCACTATTTTTCCTCAAGTTGTCATAAATGAGGCCTCACATTTGTAGGAAAAAGATGTCATGGTAGCCAATGTTTCAGCATAGCCCTAGTTAGGAACTTGATTACTTTATATGAATAGGTTACATAATAATGTTTAATAATAACTGTTGATAATAAAGGTTGATCTTCTGAAGGTGATGAAGAATGTTAGTAGTGCGGGTTAAAATTAAAAGTGTTCACTGCATTATGCATAGCATTTTAAAACTAAAAATTTTCCAACTGGTGTTGCTCAGTGGTTAAGCATCGGCCACCATTTGATTTCTCATCAGGGCACGTGCTTGAGTTGCTGGGTCCATTCCCAACAGAAGAGTGCAGGAGGTAGCCCATCAATGATTCTCTTCCATTATTGATAATTCTATCTCTCCCTCTCCCTCTCCCTTCCTCTCTGAAATTAATAAAAAATGTTTTAAATCTCTAAATATATATTTTAAACATAAAACTTATCAAAACACTTTATACCAATACAAAAAATTATTTCACAAATCAAAAAGAAACAAAATGAGTGAAACTCTAACATCCATATTTGTTATCCCATTGTCTTTTTGCTCAACAAAATTGCCAAAACTCATAAAACACGAGGCAGAACATATAATCACGTTTTAACAACGATGCAGACACAGCCAATATACATATGAGAAAAAAGTCACCATAAATTTCTAGAAAAATTACAATCAACCAGTGAGGTAGCATCACGAACTTACAAAATATTCTCTAGGATGTGAAGAATGTGAATCCCTCACACAGTACTAGAAAAATGCAAAATAAAACAGAACAAAAAGTACGATCAGTTAAGTTTTATTCTTTTTTTAAAACAATCTTAATACTTATTATCATACCATAGAGCTCAACTATTGGTTGAATCACTCCATTCTTAGTGAGTCATGCTCATAGACACTGATATTTTTCGTTTTTAAACATATTTCCTTATTAATTTCAGAGAAGGAGTCAATCATAGATGGCACCTCCTGCATGCCCACTTCTGGGGATTCAGCCCCCAACCCAGACATGTTCCCTTGGCCAGAATTAAATCTCGGTCCCTTTAGTTTGCAGACTAATGCTCAATCCACTGATGCAAACCAGCTAGGGCAAGGTTTATTTTTCATTTTCAAAGAATAGTTTGTTAATTTTTAAAGAGAGAATGGAGAGGGAGAGAAACATTCATGGGAGAGTGCCATATTGGCCAGCAACCTCCTGCACAAACACTTCTGTGTATCTAGCCCACAACTCAGCCCATATTCCCCACTAGCAATCAAATCCACAAGCTACACTACACGAGATGAATGGCTAAACACTGAGCCACATCAGCCATGGTGGTATATTCCATTTAGATCACAATTTGCTAATCTTTGTAAATTTAAACATTCATCTAGCCAAAACTCAGATTATGCACTTAATTTTTCACAAAGGTAAATAACATTTTTATATATATATATATATATATATATATATATGAAATTAAACAGAATGTTTTTACCAGCTTTATTAGAAATTATCAGATATTTATGAATATGGACAAACTGAAGGAGATATATAAGAATATCAGAAAAAAAGATGAGCTAGTAATGTAACTTTAATAAATCTTCATGTGCTTATGAAACATAAATTAGAGCAGAAAAATACTTAGGAAAATCATGTTCTCTATGAAAATGGAATGTATTGTAAATCCATGGTTACTAGGAAAGCTGTGAAGAACAGAGAGAGATCAAAAGAGGTCATGAAGCAATTACAGAGACAGATATGGTCAGCATTATGACTACAATGATGGTTTCAGTTTCATGCACATGTCAAGATTCATGAAACATTATACTTAACACATGCAATTTAATCATTGTAGCTCTTAAAAATATTTCAAGATAAAATGTAACAAACAGCTGAAACCGGTTTGGCTCAGTGGTAGAGCGTCGGTCTGCGGACTGAAGGGTCCCGGGTTCGGTTCCGGTCAGGGGCATGTGCATTGGTTGCGGGCACATCCCCGGTTGGGGGTGTGCAGGAGGCGGCTGGTCGATGTTTCTCTCTCATCGACGTTTCTGGCTCTCTATCCTTCTCTCCTCCTCTCTGTAAAAAAATCAATAAAATATATTTTTTTAAAAAAATATATGGACACAGTGTAAATTTGCCAAAACTGCTGAGCTAATTTCTGCACCATACTGTTCCCCCAATGGCAAAAGTGTTTGAGACCCCACAAAATTTTTCACCTCACCATGCTCAGAGAACCCAGATCGTCCTATAAGCTAACACACACAGTAAATAGAACACCCAAGATTAAAGAAATCTTAAGAAAAAGCCTTCATTATTTTACAACGCAGAGACATGAGACCAGCAGTTCTTCCATCAATGACTTAGGCACTCAATAAATTCATCACCAGCATTCAAAGCAAGTCCCTAAAAATGACAGTCCCTCTACAAGATTATGTTTACTGGCACCAATGGTAATCAGTCCTATGAGAAAACTCATGACAGGGAAACAAGTAAGAATCAAGGGCTCAGGTATTCCTAATTTTCTTCAACAAATTAAACAACACAGTTTGCACCCCTGGGCACATGACGATAGTGATTGAAGCCAACTGTAGAAACTTTATAGGTACTTCAGGTGAAATACCTCCAGCAACAGAATATGCAGTGACAAAGTGCTGGCAGGACATCTCTGTATGTTAGGAAGTACAACATAAATACATAGTGTTCCAACAACAAACAAAACACCAAAAATACTTATAGGAAGTTTACATAATATAAGTGATTAAATGTATGGGATATAATTCAGAAAAATGAGGATTCACAAATTTTGTTGTATTAAGTACTAGAAAACTACATTTCCTAAACATCTAAGAAATTTCTCACTTTGGATTCATAGGTGCAGAGCAAATTGAGAAATTTGGCTGAGAGATCCCTCAGATTAATTGCACTCATCATGGCTTTCTCCAGAGTGAACTCTCTGAGGATATTGGTAACCACTGCTACTTGTATAAGATTTCCCACATTCAGCCAAAACTTGTTTGGCTCAGTGGATAGTGTCGGCCTGCAGACTGAAGGGTCCCAGGTTCGATTCCAGTCAAGAGCATGTACCTTGGTTGCGGGCACATCCCCAGTAGGGGGTGTGCAAGAGGCAGCTGATCGATGATTCTCTCATCGATGTTTCTAACTCTCTATCCCTCTCTCACTCCCTGTAAATAATCAATAAAATATATTAAAATGTATATATGTATTTCCCTCGTTCATTGCATTGATAAGGCTATTCTCCAGTGTGAACTTTGTGATAAAATTGGAGACCAGTGGGAAAGATCTTTCATATTCACTGCATTTATAAAGTTTTCTCCAGTGTGAACCCATAATATTGGAGACCATTGCTCCTTGTAAAAGATTTTCCACGTTCACTGCATTGATAAGGATTTTGTCCTGTATAAAGTCTCTAAAGTCCCCCACTAGCTGCTCCGAAAAGCCATCTTTGCATTGTTACTGTGGCTTCCTCTCCGCTCCCTGCAACCACCTCCGCCACGTGACTCCTTTACTGTGGCAGACTCCGGCAGCTCCTTCTCCAGAGTTCTCCAAA